AGCAAAGCAGCAGTAATTCTTACTTCAGTTAAGCAATTTAATGGCGCTTCCGTCTACAGTTGTTCTTCAATCATAAAACAGCTGAATAGCTGCCCACAAGAAGTCCTCAAGATCTATCCAGCATGTTAAGGGCTTACTACTCCCCAAATCCTGAGTGATAACACGTGATCTGTAAGACGTGAAAATAGGCCACATGAAGAACCAAAAATTCTAAATTCAACCTCTTTTCCTATCTAAATAAATAAAAATTTAATGTTACTTCCACTGTTTCAACTTACCCTCTAAAGTATTGGTGAACTGTCAAATAGCAAAAACAAAAAGCAAAGGTGCTAGATAATAAACTTCAACCAAAATTAGTCTTTGAGTGACTGAAATGTTACTTCACTAAGTTTTTTTTTTTTTTTTTTTTAGGAGAAAGTTCCTTAGAATTCCCCACTCTTTGCATGCTTTAACCTTGTGTCAAGTTAATAAAATCAGTATTACTATTAGCTTAACAAGAATTATTGGTGGTACCAAATAGGAAAGCAGCCATCTGTTTTAAAAATGTGGTATCGTACACAATCTTTTAAATTAATATGAGTTCTCAGAAGAGGCAGAAAGATGGCTAAACTTCATTATAGACTTATGGTATCACCAAAGCACTTTTAAGAACAGAGTGGATCCAGACACATGGGAGCGTGGAAAAGATTGAGAAATCTCAGATGGAAGGTATGGAAAGTGGGTGGGTGGGAGTGATCAACCAAAGAACTTGTGTGCATATATGCATAACCCATGGATACAGATAATAGGATGATGAAGGCTTGGGGGGGGGGGAGGGTTAAGGGGTAGGAAGTGGGGTGAGATAAAAGGGGTCAATTGAGAAAAAAGGGGACATACGTAATATGTTCAACAATAATTTTTTTTTAAAAGAATGTGAATAACACAAACTGAAGCTAAACATAGCAAAGGGAATTTTTTAAATATTGATAAGAAATTTTGAAGAGTAATGAACTTGAAAACTGGTTCTGATTAATGGCTTGTTGCAGTTTAGGTTCTTACAAGGGTATTTCTTGGATCACATGATCTCACACATCTAGAGGAAACAATAAACAACACAAACAGACCCAGAGAAAGAGAACCAGCGATCAGACTCTCAAACCTCAGAGGGAAAGTAAGGGGGGATGGGGGTAAGGGGAAGAGATCAACCAAAGGACTTGTGTGCATATATATATGGGCCTAGCCAGTGGCCATGGACAATGAGGGGGGGGAGGCATATCTAGGGAGGGGTTTGGGATGGGAATGGGGGAATAAGGACAATTATGTGAGACCATAATAAAAAAAAAAAAAAAATCCTGAGACATACTTCATTCCCAATGTCAACAGTGATAAGAATCCAGAAACAGTTGGACAATATGGATATATAAGACCTAAGTATAGGAGTTAAAATTAGGAGTTATTTTATATTTAATTTAAACTTGGTAGATTCGATTTAAATGTAATTTAAATAGAATTTCTTCTTGCCTTCCTTCTTTGGTATTTAATCCATTAAAAATTATTTTTAAAAATACCTAGAATTATAGAAAGAAGCAGCACCCAGTTCCATAGTAATGTGGCACATTTTTATGTGAAAAAAATCAGAAACCAACTGATAGATCTATAATACACACATATATATAAACATTTTATTTTAATAATACTCTTTATCACTTCAATTTAAATCATTCCATTATGAAAATGTCTTAATTGAAGAGAGAATATTTCTTCAAAACTCTAAATTAAGCAGAGCTTTATCAATTAAATTTACATCAATACAGGTTTTAGAAATACATGATTCTTCATTTTACAATATATCCCCTTTAAAAATTTGTCATGGTTTGTCACAGATTTAAAATACAAGGCACCTAATGCTATGAAAGTATAACACAGTATATGTAGTGTAAATGAACCAAATCTTTTCTCAAATATTTCTTCTGAAGTCTAACCAAATTTGTGTAAATATACTTGTCATATAAATTAAACATTTTTGTGTTAATTTGCAATATTCTACAAAACTCAGAAATATAATCTATACCTATTATAGGTAGCTTAATTTAGCATTTTACCTGTACAAACACTGATCTACATACTAAACAATTTCTTGAAAACATTTTCATAACATAGTCCAGCATTTAACAAATAATAGGTGAAGATAAAGTCTCCAGACATTAGGATTTTATTCCTTGATTAGTTCAGATTATTTCATCAACTGAATTCCTTGAGATGTGTAAGGCAGGTGGTCCTTTAGACAGATTGCAGGCTGAAACTTCCTATAACTGTAGTGATGTACACAGCTACATAGCAAGTATTTCATTATGAAAATGAAGAACAACAATATGAGGAAAATATATTTTAGAGTTCCAAAGAACTGAAAATGTTATTTTTCAGACTAGGCACTGAAACATTTTTCTCCAAAATCTTGCCAGAGATTGTCTCTTCGCTATCTGATGTTTCATTGTCAAGCTGAAAATAAAAGCAAACACAAAATCATTAGATAACAGCCTATCATAGCTTTAATTTTCCATAGCTTATATTTTAAAATGCAAATTGTCTTAACATTGAAATATACATCAAACACAATCTATGTAGTGTATATAATTGGGTGTATGAACTTGAGGTGAGTCCTGGGAACACATGAATACTATAGCAGTGTCAAAGGCTGACATCCAACACTACTTAAAGATCATGTAGTATGTTTAATCATGGTATATTCCACCATTAACTGCATTGAGACAGACTCCTGCCCAAACTGTCCTATTTTATTGCTTTATTGTAGCTCATTTTCTTTTGTCTTCACCATCTCCCCTTTATCCAGCTCTCACTTCCCAAATTATTGAAACTTAGGCCTGGGGGGGTGAGGGGGGAGGGCCTGGACATGAGTGTGAATATGGGAAAATGCACAGCATCTTAGGGAGGAGAAATGCATGTCAAAGCAGTAAAAAGCTTTGAAGAATAACTTTTTAAATTTAAAGATGGCAAATAAACACATATTAGTTCCACTGTCCTTAAAAATCTTAGTAAAAAGACAATAAAGGGACTTTTTAAAAGGAATAAACCATGTGGATAAAGAGCAGAGACAAGAAAATAGTGGCTAACTCTTAGCTAGCAATGGAGAAATCTACAAGCTATCTCTCTAAAATGAAGACACGATTGAAAACAAGCAGATTGGTGCAAATTTTATAGAAAAGCAGTTAGAAACCCAGATGTCCTCCTTTTACTTTTCACTGTGGGTGCCTCTGCTGTATCTCATTAGAGGCTTATTCCTAAAAAAAAAAAAATAAATAAATAAATAAAAAAAAAAGAAAAAAAAAGTAGTAACAGAGGATCTTTGGATTGGGGAAATGCCAAGCACAATCCTATGTGGCTCAGATAAAAGCAACATTTGTATAGTCATAACAATGTAAAAGTTGACTATAGATCTACCCAAAGTATGCAATAATGATACTGGGCTGATAAGAAGAAAGGAGTGATATAGGGTTGGCAAACAGGCATGTGGGGTGAGAACAGGAAGGAGGCACTTGAAAGTGACCTATTCTCATTTACATAGTGGGAAAATCAACTGAATATGCCCACAACCGAGAAAGCAAGAAACAGAAGTATAGACATGGTAATTAAGAGCGCCAGGAAGGCTGAAACCAGTTTTGCTCAGTGGATAGAGCATCAACCTGTGGACTGAAAGGTCCCAGGTTCGATTCCGGTCAAGGGCATGTACATTGGTTGCGGGCACATCCCTGGTAGGGGGTGTGTAGGAGGCAGCTGGTCGATGTTTCTCTTCGATGTTTCTAGTTTTCTATCCCTCTCCCTTCCTCTCTGTAAAAAAGTTAATAAAATATATTTTTAAAAAAAGAAAAAAGAGCGTCAGGGAGGAAAATACCAAAGACTCCACTTAGAGTTTAATGTGAATGGAAAAAGAGTGAACACAGGATAGATGGTGCAGAGCAGGGAGAGCTGCTTTGTGTAAGATGTCATGTAGAACTCTAACTCTTGAATTAATATGGGCATGTATAACCATCATAACAAAAGGAAAATGACCAATCACAGAAAAACACAAAATCAAGACTTTAGTTTGTGTATGAATTTACCATGAGGAATTTACTTAAGTTTCAAGGTTTATGTGATCATAGGGATTGACAGGAGTTGCTCAATGTTCTATGTGAGGAGGGAAACCCAGTTGCAATTAGGACACATTTCAATCTAAGTTGCCTAACTTTATCTCAGAAAAAAAGAGCCTGCATGTCCAGAATTTTAGTAACTTATTATGATCCTTCATTCTAAATAAATGATCACTTTTGTACCTGACAAAGATATATGTAAGATATATTGTAAACATTCATTCAGCAAAATATAAAATGTAATGTACTTTTTCATTCATATAAGAAATATAAAAGATAATATTTCTTAAAGTTTTTAAAAACTGGAGAAATGTTCTTCAAAATTGTTAAATGAAAAAGCAGTCAGAGAATCAGGATATATACTGGGCCGGTTATAGTAACACATGAATAACGAAAAGACTAAATATATACCCAAGTATTGCTATTTTTCTGAATGTTATACTTAGAGAAAAAAACATGTTTCTAAAGTATATCATAAGTAAAATAATGATGGTGGACACGAATAAAAGTAATAGTTAAAGCTTGGAATCACTTAATTTTAGTCAGGCACTAATACTGTATGTACTTCAAACTTATGAAGTGTTTAAAACTCCCTTAATAATGAGGGAGTTTCAATTATAACCCCTTTTCCACAACTGAGACACAGAGAGGTTATGAATATTGTTTAAGGTCACAGAGCTAGTACATGGAAAAATTGGAAAACAGTTTTTGGAAATGAATGAAACCCAGGCAGTTTGACTCCATTAGCCTCTTGGATGTATTGCCTCTCAAACAACTAATTATGGAAATTAAATTTTGAATATAAGCAATACAAGAATTAGAACTAGTCAACACTAAAGCCAGCTAACATACAAACCTGACGACTGACAACAGCTAGCTAGCTCCATCCTCCTGAGCAACACTGTGCATAGGAATAAGACTCTCACACTGTTCATTGTCTTCTGGAACCCTTTAAAAAAAAAGGCAATAGTTAAAGAAAGCTTTAGAACTAAAAGGAACCCTTAAAAATGATCCATACAGATAGCTGAAGCTGTGTGGTCAGAACTAAGACTAGGGCAAAATTTCTTAACAACTTGTCTCAAGTTTTTTCTATAATAGAATATGAAAGCTTTCTCTGTTTAAAAAAATTGAAAAAAAATTTGAGGCAATGTTATATTTTATTATGAATTTTATTCAAACCAATAAGAGTTCTCTACGTTTAAATGTGTTATAACAAAATAGTAAGAACTTCAATATTACCTGTGAATCAAAACATTTTTTAAAAGTAGTTGTGAAGAAACTATCATAACCTACGGATTTGAACAAATTATTTTACCTGGCATAGTACATATCCTAAATAATAAAAGGCTAATATGCAAATCCACTGAATGGCCAGTCGCTATGATGCACACTGACCACCAGAGGGCAGACGCTCAATGCAAGAGCTGCCCCCTGGTAGTCAGTGTGCTCTCACAGGGGGAGCAAGGTTCAGCCAGAAGCTGGGCTCACAGCTGTGGTGGCCTGAGCCTCTCCCACCTCCAGGGCAGCGCTAAGGATTAAGGATGCCTGATTGCCGGCTTCAGACATCTGCTTCAGACATTCCCTGAAAGCTCCCAGGCTGCGAGAGGGTGCAGGCTGGGTTGAGGGACCCCCTTCCTCCCCCCACTGAGTGCATAAATTTTGTGCACTGGGCCTTTAGTACAATTATAATCTTTCAATAATTCTTCACAAAATCTCTAAAATCTAGGCCAGCATGATATGATTACTAGTTTATTTAGCAAACATTATTTGTTTAAAAATTATATTGTAGCTAAATCTACCTCTGAATTCGATGTTTTCTGCATATAAAGGCAAAAATTCTTCTGATTCCCACCATCACAGGATCCCAATTATTATAATGGCAAAGGAGAGTTACGATAAAAAATGAAAAAAATACAGGGATAGCGCCTGCAAAAAATAACCAAGAAAACTGCACCTAAAAATAAAAGGTAGAAAAGATACACTGTAATTATTAGGAAGACAATTTTCCCCTTAATGTAAGTTTTCCATTTATGAAAAGTTATGGGAATAAGTTAACAGACTAAGAAAATACTAGTAATACTAAGCAATGATAACACATTAGTAAGTTTATTATTATTAAAAAGGATTCAGAACTTCAACATCCTAACCACTTGCTTAAATTACCAACAAAAATATTTCTCATTTGGGAAACAGCCTAAAGGAAAGCCAGGAAGACATGCTTTTTATTTATTAGACACAGCATGGCTGAGAACAAAATTATGAAACTTTAAGTTGCCCATTTCCCCTTCACTAATTACTACTTATCTCAAGTTGATCCTGCCCTTCAGTTTCTGAAGTCATCTTAAAATCACAAATTTTAAAAAAGTATGTTATGTTCTAGTTGTGATATGCTGTGTTGTTACAGTTCTTAAGACAGTATTAAAAACAGATTAAACTCTTAACTTCAACTTCTATAAACCTTTTACTAACAACTAGAGGCCCGGTGCAAAAATTTGTGCACGGGGGAAGGGAGTCCCCTCTGTCCAGCCTGGATCCTCTCCAATCCGGGGGAGTTGGGGGATATCCAACTGCTGGTTATAGAATGATTTCATGAATATTCAACTAAAAACCCTATAAATGAATTAATGCAAACTTTATAAATGTAGGTTAAACCCTAGATGATGTTTAAAGGAAAGTTCACTTTTAACAATGCAGTAGCATGTTGCCACATACTCTAAAACTATCTGATTTCCAAGAAGCTAGGAATATAATTTTTAAAAATGAAGACATCTATTAACAAAGAAAACTGCCTATATAAGAAATATATAATCCCTAAATATATATGATAATAAATCTAAATATACTAGGGGTACTAGTTAATAATGCAAATTTTTTTCAATAGATGGACTTACACATATGTTGTTATATATGCGATTTGATATGTATGCTATTTTGTTGTATTGACAACAAGCTTCAAAACTTCATATGTCAAATTTGCTAAGATGTTAACTTCATAGATGTTTTTATGTTTAAAAATGTTGAGCCCTGGTTGGTTTGGCTCAGTGGATAGAGCGTTGGCCTGCAGACTAAAGGGTCCCAGATTTGATTCGGGTCAAGGTCATGTACATTGGTTGCAGGCATATCATCAGTAATGGATGTGCAGGAGGCAGCTGATGGATGTTTCTGACTCTCTATATCTCTCCCTTCTTCTCTGTAAAAAATTAATAAAAATATATATTTTTTAAAATGTCAAATTTTGTGCCAAAGAAAGAGCATTTGCGGGAAGTTTTAATTCACTTCTTTATTTTGAAGAAAAGTGCTGCTGAAAGCTATTGTATACATCGAGAAGCTTATGGTGAACATGCTCCATCTCAAGATACTTGTGAACGCTGCTTTTAAAACGCTTTAAAAGTGATGATTTTTATGTGAAAGACAAAGAAAGTCCAGGTCAACCAAAAAAGTTTGAAGATCAACAACTACGAACATTATTGGAGTAAGATGCGGGTCAAACTCAAAAACAACTTGCAGAAATCTTAAACGTTGCTCAGCAAACAATTTCTGATCATTTACAAGCAATGAGAAAGATTTTAAAGGAAGGAAAATGGGAGTCACATCATCTGAATGAAAGACAAATGGAAAACCAAAAAGTCATCAGTAAAATGTTGCTTCAATGGCATGAAAGAAAGTCTTTTTTGCACCAAATTGTGAATGGTGATGAAAAGTGGATTTATTTTGAGAATCCCAAATGCACAAAATTATGGGTTAATCCAGGTCAACCACAACATAGACTGCAAGGCCAAATCGCTTCAGAAAGAAGACAATGCTCTGTGTTTGGTGGGATCAGGAAAGTGTGGTGTATTATAAGCTTCTAAAACAAATGAAAGTATTAATACTGATCGCTACTTACAACAAATAACCAATATGAACCATGCTTTGATCGTGAAATGACCAGATTGTGCCAGAAGACACAGCAAAGTAATTTTGCTTCTTGATAACGCACCATCACACACTTCAAAACCAACTAAAGACACATTAAAAGATCCTGCCTAGGAAGTATTAACCCACTCGCTGTATTCACCAAATCTTGCTCCTTCAGATTACCACTTGTTCCCATGGCATATGCACTTTCTGAGCAGCACTTCAAAACATACTAAGAAGTAGAAAATTGGGTCTCTGAATGGTTTGCCTCAAAACAAGAAAAGTTCTATTGAAAGATAAGGGAAATGGGTAGCTACTTTGAATAAAACACCTCACCATGCAGGAATTTCATGCACCAGGCCTCTAGTCATTTAATAAATGAGATCCCCTGTGATATTTCTTTTTTTTAAATTCCCTAAAATTAACCTTCAATTTCATTTTTTATATGTACAAAAGCTGATGTTTTCAAAATATCATAACATTAAAGTTCAATTGAACAGTGGTCTACCAAAATCCTTACTTCCCCAGTTTCACTATCACAATTTTGGTTCATATTCAAGATTATTACCCTGTGATGTAAAGGACCTGGATATTATTTAAATGTATAAAAAGAATCTAATAAGCATAACTTTAGTATTATATATATTTTACAATTTTGACATTCTTTGAAAATGCATGCTATGTAAGATAATTAATTCTCAATTAAGGAGATTTCCATTTTTAACCATGACAAATAAGAATTTACTAAACCACAAAACAATGTTAAATACCAGTATAGATTTTTTATTTTTATTTTTTTTATTTTTATTTTTTATATATATTTTATTGATATTTTACAGAGAGGAAGGGAGAGAGATAGCTAGAAACGTCGATGAGAGAGAAACATCGACCAGCTGCCTCTGCACACCTCCTACTGGGGATGTGCCCGCAACCAATGTACATGCCCTTGACCGGAATCGAACCTGGGACCTTTCAGTCCGCAGACCGACGCTCTACCACTGAGCCAAACCGGTTTCGGCCCAGTATAGATTTTTTAAAAAATAAAAAAGATAAACATCATTAAGAGTATTTTGTCTTTATCCTAAAAAGTGCACAACGATCTAAAGAAAATTAGCTTTCAAAATCTGATTATAAGTTCTACACAGTATAAGCCTTTGGGCTTTCAAGTATTTCCTCTTCCAATTATATTAAACCAACACTCCACCCTCTCCCCCTCCCCCCCCCCCACACATAGCATGTACACACGCATACCATTTTGTTACTTAAAAGCTTACAAATACTGAACTGAGTGGTCCATGCTACATTACATCTTTTAGCATTAGCCAATGGCACATCTCTTTTCTCCTTGTTAACCCTTAGGAGTACTAAAGAAACTTCCCCCTTCAGGCTGTTGGGAGAGACACAGATTCTCTTTTCTGCAATATTACCAGTATTTATCACAAGATTCCATATTCAGACCAGGACTTCATAGAAGAGGCAGAAGGCCCCCGCCCTGCTGAGTTCAAGCCTGATTGATGCCTAACTGTTCTTCTGCCAGCCCGATTGCTCCTAACTGCCCTCCCCTACAGGCCTGGTCCCCCACAACTTCTCTCCTCTGCCAGCCCAGTCACCCTAACTCTCCTCCCCTGCAGGCCTAATCATCCCAACTTCCCTCTCCTGCTTGCCTGATTGCAGACAACTGCCCTCCCCTGCCGGCCATCTTGTGATGACCATTTTATGTCCATATGGCAGCAACCATCTTATGTGTTGGAATGATGGTCAATTTGCATATTAACTTTTTATTATATAGGATTACCACAGTGCTAAGAATTTTATCTTAGAAATTAAAACACTACTACTTAAATGATAAAATATATCCCTACTCCATACCACTGACTTAACAGAGCATATGGAACATATCTACTACTAGATGAAAAGCTACACATAAAGATACTACTCCTAAGATAAAAAATTGAAAAACTAAAAAATCAAGAGATTATCCATTTCTTTCAGCACTTTTTTAAAATCCTCACCAGAGGATATTTTTACATTGATTTTTTATTTTATTTTTTTTACGTTTATTTTATTTTTTACGTTTATTTTTTATTTTATTTTTTACGTTTATTTTATTTTTTACGTTTATTTTTTATTTTATTTTTTACGTTTATTTTTTATGTTTTATGAAAAAGAGAGGAAAAGACACTTAGAAACATCGATGTTAGAGAAAAACATTGATTGGTTGCCTCCTGCAGGAGCCCTGAGGCCCCAGCAGTGGAGGAGCCTACAACTGAAGTATGTGCCCTGGACTGGAATCAAACCCAGGAGGTCAACGCTCTATCCACTGAGCTAAACCAGCCTGGGCACTTTCAGTACTTTTTACATCTCTATGTAGTAAAGCACCTTGGGAGAGAAGGCATCAAGTATTATTCATGGTTATATCCTTATAATTTAGTCACATCCCTAAACCTTCATTAGCTCTGTTTTTAATAATATACATAAAATATCTAATAAATAGCTTTTATCTAATAAATAGCTTGTCTTACCTTTTGCATACACATGTCAGCTATTATGGACAGAGGTATTGTAAGGCTTAGTGCAAGTGTGCCTATCAATGATGAGGTAAGAAAGCAGCCCCTAAAAAGGAAAAAACAAAACATACATGTCCATATTAAAAAAGTAAAAGAACCAAAGAAAAACAATGACCAATGTCTACCTACCCTAAAATATAGATGTGAGAAATTAAAAGCAAAAATGGACTGAGACATAATAAATAACAGAATTACTAAGATAATTCCAAAAGTTTATCTTCAAATATTAAAAATCCAAATATATAAGTATAGGTATTTTGAGGCATTTTATGCTATTTTCAAGATCTGCTTACAGACATTGTTCAACTTTAAATGCATAACTTACATTTCCTTAACAGTTTTTACAAAACTGTCAAAAGAGTTGTGATTGAGCATTGACCTATGAACTAGGATGTCATAGTTCAATTCCCAGTCAGGGTACATGTCTGGGTTGTGGGCTCAATCCCCAGTGAGGGATGTGTAGGAGGCAGCCAAAATGCTTCTCTTTCATCATTAATATTTCTATCCCTCTCTCCCTCTCCCTTACTCTCTGAAATCAGTAAAAAAAAAAAAAAAAAAAAAAATATATATATATATATATATATATATATATATATATATATATTTTTTTTTTTTTTAAAGAGTTGTGATAACGATACTTAGCTAACAAAGCAGGCAGCTTTATTAAAATTGTAAGACAATACCTTACAACATAGACTTTAAGAAAGTGATAAGTCAATATGTGCATCTGTCATCAAACAAAAAATATTTCACCCTTATGAGAACTAAGCCTTTAGATGGATACTGCTCTTCTAGTTTGGTTCAGCATTGAAAAAAAAACAAATCTGAATATTTTAAAAGGGTATGACCTTGTTTTCCACTTGTCTAGCAATTGTCCTAACCAAAACCTGTATTATTTTCACCTTAAACAATCAACTGTTTTATGTTTAACCTTAAACTATAAATATTGGTATCAAATTTTAAAATATCAATTTGCATATAATTTTGTTTAGTTGAAGAAAAAAAGAAACCATTATACCAAACAAGTGAGCCATTTATAAAGACTAAAAATTTGGTATATATAAAAAGATCATAAATTATAGGCCAAGATAAAACTGTAATGTATATCATTAGGAATATAGACCCATGGAAATTATAGGCAAGCAAGTTCTAACTCAGTATAGGTTAGAATTTGTAATGCTGTCTTGTTATAAAAGAGGCTATCTCTTGAAAGTGTCATCTGAAATATTCAACAGAGGCTGGTCAACCCGTTCTTATTGCTGCAATAAAGAGAACTCAAGTACTAGTGGTTTCCACTACTCATAAGCTGCTCTATGAAATATATTCTTAGATATTTATAATGCTAAGTACAATCATAAAAATTCTGATATGCTTGTTATGGTTATTTTGAGTTACCAACACTAGAATTTAGGGATATGTTTGTTTCATTACTTATTCACTTTACTGTTACTGAGTTTTTATTGTAAGTACTCATAAACACTTGAATATAGAGGTGCATCTGAAAAATAAACCTTGAGATCCTGAAAAATCCATCCTAGGTAAGGATAAATATAGCTTTCATTATAATATATAAATTTCAGTGTCCAGTTTATTCAATAATAAACACTCACAAATACACAATAGGGAATAGAAATTGTGTTCTCCCTATGAAGAATGATTTTGCAATTCTGTGTCAAAATTTAAAGTCTATATGTCTGACTCAGTCTTTTCCACTTAAGAGGCATTTATCCAATAGAATGCTAACATATATATGCAAAGATACACATAAGAATATTCAATGCTATATTATTTACAAAGCAAAAGACTGCAAACTTAAAATGTCTCTCCATGAGAAAATGGTAAGACATGTTCCACCCATTACATAACAAAATTGATTGGAATATAGCATTTTAAAATACAGCCTTTAAAAAAATGAACTTAAGTGCTGTTATGTGAAGATTGAAAGACAATTTGTGAAAAAAAAGTAAAGTATAGAACAATATTCATTGTATGCTCCCATTTGTGTGTTGAGAATAAAACAAATTGAAAGGAAAATTAAGAGAATGAAACACAATTTTATATGTATAAAAAATATTATAGAAGGTTTAGATGTTAAATAGTGGTTGCCTTTGAGAAAAAGGAATAGATATTTGGGGTAGAAGGGAGATTTCAATTTTCATTGTGAACCTTTTGTACATTCTTTTACTTTTTAAAAGTTAAATAAAAAAGAATATTGTAAAACATGCTATTTATTATTTCTTTAAATATAAAATTTTTCAAGGAAGCAAACTACAAAATCTCACATAATGGAAAGATTACATATCACAACTCATATTTTATTGCCCCCAAAGCCTACATTAAATTCTGCTGAATATAATGAAAATCTTTTGCATATGTTTATTATTTAAAAATAAAGCGTTGCCAAAACTGGTTTGGCTCAGTGGATAGAGTGTTGGCCTGTGGACTGAAAGGTCCCAGGTTCGATTCCGGTCAAGGGCATGTACATTGGTTGTGGGCACATCCCCAGTAGGGGGTGTGCAGGAGGCAGCTGATCGATGTTTCTAACTCTCTATTCCTCTCCCTTCTTCTCTGTATAAAAATCAATAAAAATATATTTAAAAAATAAAAATAAAGCGTTCAATAACGAATGAGCATTTTAATATCTATAGGTGGCACAGTCCATGTTTACTATGAGTCTCAATGTAATGATCAAGTAATAAGGACCAAACTAAACCTTTCTTTAGTCTAATATCCAAAGAAAAACTTTATTATTTCTTTCAGATATGTAAAAAATGCTCTGCTTTGAAATTTCCCAATTTAAACTTAACTTAGGAAACCAGAAAATATGAGCTTGTATTAAAATACAATGAATACATAATTATTTAAAGCATATGGTTCATTGGGTTGAACTATATGAAACTGTAGTCAAAAATGGCTGAAGATCAACAATTCTTTATGATCCTACTATGTTAAATCAAAACACAACCAGCAAATAGTTTTATCTGCTCAGAACCCAGAGTGAAGAGAGACAAGAGAAATGATAGAACAAAAGAAGTGATAAGATAACAAGAGATATATGATTATATATTAATGTATAAAATAAAGTGCGTAACTCTTTTAGGTTAAAAAAAGTGAGCATCTAAAATGCATGTAAAGAAAGATGGAAAAATAAATGAGTAAATGGATTCTGAGATAAGAGTTTTAGATTAGCAAAGGAATTTAAGATGGGAACATAAATCACTACAATACAAAGCAAACCTTTAAGTACTACATGAAAGAGAGTGAGTGTTGAGGATATCAAGAAAGTAAGAGCTATTCTCTTAACTAGGGAAGAGGAAGAAGTATAGGCAGAGCATAAAGAAAGACTTCTTGCTAAAGGCTATTTTTGTCACAGCCTTTTGCAAGGGAAACTAGGCAGTAATCTTAAATGCCATATAATAAAAATTCATATAACATTTTAAGTACAATTTGTGTTTCTTTTTCAGTTCTTATTAGGTGGAAGCAGGATTAAGTATCAAGCTCTATATTTGAAAGGTTTCTTAAACTCCATACATGATATTGTCTTCCAACTATTTTAGGATTATCATTAAATATCAACATATATTATAACATTTCAAAGTATATTAACATGTATAATCAGAGTTTAGGGCTTACATATGTAACTCACCCACGTGAAAATTCCTGAGAATAAACAAAAGAGACAAAGTCTCTAAAATAAGCAAAAGCTCTTAGACAAGCAGAGTCCTCAGAGTCTAAGAACTTGTGTCACTGATATGTAGGAAACACATCTTGTAACGTAGGATATCCATTAGATATCACTTTTCATTTGTATAACACTACTGCCAAAAACACTACAAATTTAGGTCAGTCATATTCATTCATTCAATATTTACTGAGCTCCTTTTATGTTCAAAACATTACTCTATATGATGGATAATTAGAAATTAAATAAATAACAGAACACAAAGTTCCCACTGTAATGGAGTTACTTTATTGAATTGTTAAGTGTGAGATGAGAATGTGCACAGCAAGGGCCATCAGAAGACCAAAAAAACATAAATGCTAAACTACCCAAAAGTCCATAAACTGATAACTAATAAATCAGAGGTAATAAACAGTACATACCACAACCACAGGAACTCAGAGAGAACTGTTCCAATAAGGCCATTAATGATAATGCACATTAATACTACTTTATTGGGAAATTCAAAGTCCTCAAATCCAGTATAATGAAGTAAAAAGAAACCTGGCCATAAGAGCAGCAGATTAAACAGGCCTACAAAACCTAAACATGTATAAAGAGACAAATGTTAGTTTCTCAGATTTATTTAAATTTCCAAACTTATAACTCTATACTTATAAAACCGATCTTATACAAAGGGCTACAATAGATTTCCTTAACTGGAACTTGTTTCTTTGGTTAAAGCCAATCCTATGGATAACTCAACACTAGGAAAAACTGTATCAAGCAACTATATCAAGCCCACAGTGCATGGACCAACTGCTACAGAATAAATCACTAAAAACAATTCAAAAAGAAGTGTTAACTTTAACTACTAATAATTACAAGGTGAGGCAAAAGTAGGTTTACAGTCATGAGTACGTTATGCAAAATGTAAGCCTACCTTTGCCCGATACTGTATTATCTTGAAAGTTAAATGAATAACTCGTGTGTGTTTGTATATTTTCTCTTAATTAAGTATAAGGAAATGGATGGTTTGTTCTCTGATTCAACTCATAGTTATGTTTAAAGCTCCAATGCTATATTAGGAATAATGGAGGAAGGATCCAAAAAAAGATAAAATTCTTGGTTCCTGCCTTCCCAAAGCTCATTAGCTAGTTGGTGTGATAACACATATATGCAAATACCTATTCAAGGTATGAGCACAGATTACTTATAAGGAAGGCTGCAATGATCAGTGGTTAGAGTTTGAGCAGTCAGATTGCCCTGGGTTTTGATTCCAACTCTATTATTTACTAGTAATGTAAACCTGAGGCAAGAGCAGAACCTCTTTTAAGCTTGTTTTCTAGTCTGTAAGTGTAAAACAATATTTACTTAGGTTATTGGAAAGATTAGATAAAACATAAAATATAGCACAGTACCTAGCAAAGAGTAAACAGTTAATAAAGACTATTGTTATTATAAAAGTTAAAGTTTGCCTATGACTATATACATGCAAATAGTATGTAGTAAAGATTACAAAGAAAAATTATTATAATTTTATTGCACTTTCTATATAGTTTAGTATCAAGGATTCATAATGAAATCCATAAAGTAAAAATAAGAGCTTTCATTTAAAAAGTTAAATTACAGTAGATATGTATTTTATATTGGCTACTAAACAATAAACTAGAACTTAGGCTGGCCAGTTAAATAGAAACAAGACAGGAGCGCCCACTCTCTATCCGAAGCTTCTCTACAGAACTGTCTTGGACAATAAACAAGCCTGCTTTGCCCAGGAAGTTCCCATCCCTGCCTATCCTATACCCTTTGCAGCCAATGACTGCACTCACTCACAAGGCCAACCCCTGTGGCGGGAATCCTAATAACTCAAGGCCAGGACATCTCCAAGAAGTGCCTAGACATTACCTGCTGCCTCCCACACCTGCTTCTCCATTCTGCTTCTCACTCCCTTGCCAGTTCTTCCTCCAGAGGACCTCAATAAATAACCCACACTAAAGCTCTGTCTCCTACTTTGCATCTAAGAAACCCAATTTAAGACATTTAGTAATAAAAAAATAAAAAAATAACGATACATGTACAGAAAGGACTAATGATCCAAAAGGCTTGCATAACATTAAAAAGTTGTCATTAAAATGTCAAGATTTGGTATTATCAAGAACCAAATTTATTTTCTGGTCCCTGAACTATCAAGTCTATGAAATCCCATATTAATTAACAATGTCTGGACCTACAAATAATTTCCTCTAACCTCCAGACCCTCAAGAATTTGGCCCACACGCCTTACTGTTCTACCTAAAGTGAAGGCTTCAGCACAATCACACAGATCTACTCACTGTTCCCTACCATGCTCTCACTTCCTTATGCCTAACACACCCTCCACATTCACCCATAACTTCTTTTATAATCCCATCTATTCTAAAACTCAAGTCAAATCAATATTTTCCTTATCACATTACATATGAAGAAGACCAATCAAGTTATATGTCTGTGTATTCTATTAAATTAAGCAATGTTTCTTGAAAGCTGCCAATCTTTAAAAAATAGCATTTTTCTCCATTACAGATAGAATTTTCTATGGCTCTAAAATAAGATGACTAAAATGATCTTCATATTTAAGGTATATTTATTGGATTCTATACTTAAAAGGAACTTGAGTGATCACTCAGTTTGGTGGCTTTTCAAACCTTTTATTTTTTGTCAATCTTTAAGTAAAGATATTCAAACTGCTTTTAGTATCAACATCTGTTCTACAATTTAAATGATAATGCAAAAGACCTAACAAAACAGTGTTGTTCCAGCTGAAACAGACCCCTCATACAACTCTATGTCCTACCAACCTTCCAAGGATCCTTTGTAAATCAGCTTGGAAACTACCCATCAGTCCAATTTCCTCATTTTTCAGATGAGCACAAGATAAATGAAGTTATAATAACTATATATTCCAGGTCTCCTGGTTCCCTGTAAGCTGTACTTTGAACCGTCATCACCAGGCTTCTTTATCTATTGGTTTTACGATATCTTTTGAAAGATATACACAGATAGCCTCACAGATAACACTTGTTTTTACTGAGCTGATTTTTGGCAAAAGAGAATTTATAAATCATATCAGGTATTTTATTTACAAAAATTAAAAACAAATGCCAGGAACAATAATTGGGTAATTTGGAAAATATATGTTATAAGAGTCCAACTCTTAAAAATAAAATGCAAACGGAAAAATCTTAAATGACCCACAATTTCTAATGAAAATAAGAACCTAGACCAGAACAGTATTATACAGATCTTTTGGGGACAGTTTCCTCAATCCTATGCTTTCAACAACTCAAAAATGGCAAAATGTATAATACAAGTATACTCTCACTTGCTTATAATAGCACTAGAGGTTTGGTGCACGAATTCGTGCACAGGTAGGACCCCTCCTCCTGGGCAGTGATCAGCGCCAATCAGAGCCATCTCGCCCAATCCCTGAGGGAGGTTGCCAGATAGAGAGGGACTAAGGGAAGGTCCAGGGAGGGTCCAGCCTCGTCTTGCCCAGTCTCAATTGGCCAGTCCTCAGCATCAAGTTAACCTACCAGTCGGAGCATTTGTTCCTGGTGGTCAGTGCTCATCATAGCGACCAGTCAAACGGTCAACACTTAGCATATTAGGCTTTTACATATAGATGATTTTGTCATATCAATGAGAAAACTATCTGGTTCATAGGCTGAAGACATTAATACAAAACCTGTCAGTGGCGGGTAATACTCTCATAGGGTTGTTCAGACAATTAAAGAGCTAATATGCATAGGGGCTTAGAATAAAGCTTGTTACTTGGTACACACTCAATGAATGTTTGCTACGACTATTTTTTTAAAAGGCATTAAAGGAGCTATCCTTCATAGATACACAACTATGCAGGACAAGAATAAAACATTGAGATTGGACTTCATAATCTTTAAAATCTGATGGACCTCCAGACCCCCCAGAATTTGGCCTACATACCTTCCTGTTCTTCCCTAAAGTGGTAATTCAGAGTAAATTGCCTCACAAATTAAACATATTCTTACCAAAGAACATCGGAATATCCAACTTATCTTCTCTGTCTACTTTTCTCTTAATCATAACAATATAGACAGCATAGAGCATGGCTCCAGCAAGAGACCAAATGGAACCTGTAAAGATCCACATAATGATTTAAAGCATTTGTTCATTAACTCATTCAACATACACTTATTTAAAATCTAACAATGTGTTGGATCCTATTTCAAGAAATGAATGTACAAATGTGAAAAGTTAAAGTACAGCCCACCCTATCTTTATCTCCAGGAGTATAGGAAAGAGTTTAAAGTGTAAACAAATAAACGCAAAACATTCACCTCAATGATCTAACCCCCTGGTCAGCAAATTGTAGCTTGCGAGCCACATGTGGCTTTTTGCCCCTTTGAGTATGGCTCTTCCACAAAATACCATGGCCTGGGCAAGTCTATTTTGAAGAAGTGGCGTTAGAAGTTTAAGTTTAAAAAATTTGACTCTCAAAAGAAATTTCAATCGTTGTACTGTTGATATTTGGCTCTGTTGATTAATGAGTTTGTCGACCACTAATCTAACCAAACAGACATATTATAATACTAAAATTCATATAAGTAACACTTCGTTTTTAAATTTTGAAATGCACACTTTTTATTTCCCTTCCATAAACAATTTACCACCTGACACGGTCCAACTTAACAATGCTTCTTTCCCTATCACTTGTCACTTTTATTTTTTCTGTTAATCCTCACCAGAGGATATTTTTCCATTGGTTTTTAGAGAGAGTGGGAGGGGGAGTGACATACAGAAACATTGATGTGAGAGAGAGACATTGATTGGTTGCCTCCCGCATGCACCCCAACTGGAACTGGGATTCCAGCCTGCAACCACGATATGTGCTTTTGACCAGAATCAAATCCAGAACCCTTCTGTCCACAGGCCAACACTCTATCCACTGAGCCAAAAAGGTAGGGCACATGTGTCATTTTTAATATATATTCCACTACCAACTTTAAGGGTCTGTTAAAGGGCATGTCTGCCACAAAGCATCCTCTCTCCTCTGCTGAATTTCTGTCCTACCTGTCTTCTATTTAGGGCAATTTAATATTTACTATAGTTAAATGTGATCTAATTTTATTTTCTAGTGGCTTCACTTTGCAAATCTTAGCTACTGACTATAATCAAGAATTCCTTGAAAACTGTAAATACTTAATTTATACTTTTTACTGTCCCAAAATATCTAACATAATGCAGGGCTCACTGTATATAATAAATATTGATCCTCTTTAATGTAATAACTCATTTTCACAGAACATAATATCGCTTTTATGTATTTTTTCCAAAAAGGTACAACATAAATTTAACCATAAAGAAATATCAGACAAACCCAAAGTGAGGGACATTATATAAAACTTCAAAAGTGTTAAGGTTATAAAAGACAAAAAGAAGACTGAGGGGTAGTTCCAGATTGAAGGAAACAGAGGAGACATGACAAGTAAATGCAACAAGTGATCCTGGATTAGAAAAAGAATATTAGTGAAAAAAATAGTGAAGCTGGAAAGGGACTATAGCGATTAGGTAATAAATTCTAATCAATGTTTACTCCTGATTTTTATAACTATATTTTGTAGCTATGTACGTAGTTAACAAAGAATCTGGATGAAGGCTACATGAGAATTCTATGAAATATTTTTGAATGTTTTTAACATTACCTTTAAGAAAGTTTTTTAAAAAGAGCCCCAGTTAGTGCCCATCCTCTGTGTGGGCATGTGATGATATCCACAAAACAGAAACTTACCTATTGTATTCCTTCCAGCAGATTTTTCAGACCCCGACAAGTTTACCAGCACAACACCTCCAATGCTATGAGAATAACAGTTGTTACTGATGAGCAAAATAACAAATACCTTTAAAGGACTAATCATAAAGATGAAAATTATTTATAAATGATCAAGACTAATTTTGGGATAAAACTGTCAAATAATTTGTGATTTAATTAATAGCTAACCATTTTTATAATTCTTATCCAAGGATATATTTATTGATTTGAGAGAAAGATTGATGTGAGAAGGAAACCTAGATCGATTGCCTCCCGAGGACCAAACCTGCAACCTAGACATGTGCCCTGACCAGGAACTGAACTCACAACCTTTTGGTCTATAGAACAATGCTCCAATCAAATGAGCCAGCAGTCAGGATAATATCTAGTATAAGAGCTATAGTATTAACTAATTTAACCCACACAAAATGTGCAATATTACCTTATACAAAGGCGTTATTGTTATTACCATTACCATTTTACACGTGAGAAAACTAAGCACAAAGAAAGGAAATACTTGACCAAAATCATATAGCTGACATCTAGAAAGTTCTTCCAGAGTCCAAGGGAAGTGCTCAGGGATACAGAGCAGAGCTGTAACTCAAACCTAACTCTGACAGCTAATACCAGTCTCTCCATTAAATCATTCTGCCACTTTCTCTGATTTTTAATTTTCTCTCACAAAAACAATAGCTTAATCAAACCAACACATCTTTTATGAGTCCTGTCGGTGAGCAAAGCTCTATCTAGGCTTTTGGTGGCACAAAGGTTTTGACTTTCAGGGCCTTACAATCTCATAGAGAAGACAATATAAACATTCACCAAGTTAAATAAAAATAAAAGATTAAAACATAGTTATGGACAATATTGATGCTATCCAATAATATAAAGATGCCAAATAAAAAATAAATGAAAGATTGAGGCTGAGGCAATCAGAGAAGACTGCACGTTAGATTTCTCGAAGTGTGAGAAAGGCTAAAACCCAAACAAAAAGGGGAACTGTTGTAAGAAAAGAAAATGGAAATTTAGAAGATTATAAATATCACGTTGTCACATTACCTTAAATGTGAACATCAGTACAATACTTAGTAAGTCTGCAGTCACATGAATGGCAACGAACATGCCATTTAGGTCCTTCCCTCAGGTTAGCCTCACCAGGGAGGTTTAGAAAACTAGTCTAGGATAAGACACGGCTAAGTTGCATAATGTCCATTTAAAACTTTCTGCTATCCTCATCTTTCTTTACTTATACAGTATACAGTAACATAAATTATCCTCTCTCACAACCAGAAAAATTTTATCTATCGTATTTTTAAACAGAGTAAATAAGCTATTACACTACATTCTTACCTTAAAATTACAGCTAATAATTTAGAAAGAGTAAATCTATCTCCACTGTTACTTGGAAATACTGCAGCAAGGATTAAGGTAAAAAGTCCTATGGAGAGAAAAAGATGAAAAAAGACACACTGGCTTAAATACTGTCAAAATTATTTACTATAAATTTAATAATTAATATAAGTAAATTATACACCTAAATTTTAAACTAATTTTTGTCATTTTTAAATAACTAAGAATAAGCCTGGACGACATGGCTCAGTGGTTGAATCTTGACCTATGAACTAGGAGGTCACAGTTCAATTCCCAGTCATGGCATGTGGCTGAGCTATGGGGTCAATCCCAATGTGGGGCATGTAGGAGGCAGCCAATCAATGATCCTCTCTCATCATTGATGTTTCTCTCTCTCCCTCTCCCATCCTCTCTCTAAAAAAGACACACACACACAAAAAAAAGACTAAGAATAAGACTGCAGTTACCTAGGCTGAAATGTTCATACACAAAAACAGCCTCTAGGCCTAGCTGGTTTGGCTCAGTGGTAGAGCATTGGCCTGCGGACTGAAGGGTCCCAGGTTCAATTCTGGTCAAGGACATGTACCTCAGTTGCAGACTTGATCTCCAGTCCTGGTCAGAGCATATATGGGAAACAACCAATCAATGTTTCTGTCTGTCTCTCCCTCTTCCTTACACTCTCTAAAAACCATTGGAAAAATATCCTTGGGTGAGTACTGACTACAACCAAACTAATACACACAAAAAACCAACCTCTAACCTATGTTTATTTCAACAGTATAGATCAAATAGAATCCTTTAAGAAAAAACTAATAAAAGTGTTAAACTGAACATTCAGAATAATATTTTGACATCATCATAATCAAACTTTGTATGTTAAAGTTATTTTTATAACTTCAAAACACTTTTGTTATCTTCTAGATTTGAAAGGTGATTCAATTTTAAAAATAAAAACACCTTTCATAGGGCAAATATAGTTCTAAGATAAGCAATTACATTTAGCCAAAGGATCTAGAATAAGATCTTTGCAAAGAATATGTGAAAGATAGGGCAACAATAATCCAAAGAGCCAGCATATTGGTATACAAAATAATGTAAAGTATTTGTTAGAAATATAAATAGCACAAGGCTATGGCATAAAACTATAAAGATTAAGAAATAGTTACAATATACTTATGTAATAAGAACAAATGACATAATTTATAACAAGATAAAAATGTATATATATATATATATATATATATGCATATTAGAAATATATCGATTCATAATGCAGATTTTAAAGATAGATTTCTTACCAGAAGTTGAAGACAAAATGTTAACAATGGCAACTTGTGTGTCAGAAAGTGCTTCTTGATATGACAAATTTGCCAAAAACCACTAAAGAAATAGAAAACAAAGTGAAACCTACTGAATGGTGTGTTTATATTTGCCATTACAATTTATGATTGACCCTTTTTTTCTTCCCCTAAATATTAACATGAAAGGTTTTAAAATCTGCTTCGTATTGAAAAATCACAGGCCCAAAAAGAGAAAAATTATAATCAGACCTAAGATATTTTCCCTCCAAAAATTAATAATAATTGGTTAAAGATTATTGTTCAGGTCTTTTTTAAAACAAAGATAAAATTTAATATCAACTCAACTTTAAAATTTTCTTTATCCAAGCACTGCTAGCACTCTATTAAGTTTATATAAACCAAATTTAAGTTGGGGGAAATTCCCAAACATTAGAGAATGTACAAACGAGCATAGCATGCTGAGAAATGAATAAGATGATGCCTATGAAGATGGATGGAACTAGCTAGCTAGATTGCTAGATGAAATGCTATATTCACTTCAGAAATTTAAAAATGTCCAAGAAAATGGTGAATGTACTGGCTAATTGTTATTGTTTTTCTGATTCTCAGTTTGAGAAAACAATACAGCATTCTCACAATTTAGACATAATAAAGGAAGTTTTCCAGCTCAGAGAATTTTTTTTCTTCTTTCTTTCCTTTTTCTCATCTAGGCTAAGATATTCTTATATTCCCAACCCTGTGGCTACTTTGATTTAGAAAATAAGAAAAGCAGCCTTTTGATGAAGGCTGCATATTACCACAACTCATCCATTTTCCTGTTAATGGACACTTTTTGACTATTTCAAACAATGTTGCTATGAACATTCTAGTGTGTGACTCCTGAGGCGCATGCATATATATATATATATATATATATATATATATATATATATATATGTCACTAACATATATACTAAGAAGCAGATTGCTCAACAATAATTCACTACTTGACTGCTTTTTGGCATCACTGTTACACACTGACTAGAGAGCCATCTCCTAATGTGTTTCAAAAGTTACGTGAGCAGTATAATTATTAGCATTTACATTTCATTTCTAGCAGACACATGCTTTTAGAGCACTGCTAAATGGTAGCAGTAGAAGAAATGAAAACTAGAGAATTGAATGAAATAGTGAACAAAAGACTATATGAAAAATTAATACAATAAAGAGCTGATTCTTTAAAAAATATTATTAAAATTAACAAGCTTCTGGCTCTATTCACTAAGAAAAAAGAGAACTCATATAAACAAATTCAGAAATGAAAGATAAGTTACCACAGGCATAAACAGATATACAAAGGAACACACTATAATACTATAAAAGACTATCTGCCACCAAATTCAGTAACTTACAAGTAATGGATAAGTTCCTAGATATATAACCTTCCTAGACTGAATCATGAAGAACTGAAAAATCTAAATATACTGATCAACAGTGAGGAAATTAGAACAACCATCAAAAACCTCCCCAAAAAATAAAAATGCAGGATCGAATGGCTTCACTAGTGAATTCTGTCAAACATTCAAAGAAGATCCTAGCCTTCTCAAACTCTTCCAAAAAACGAAAGAAAAGGCAATCCTTCCTAACATATTTTATAAGCCAACATAACTCTGAACCAAAACCTGGCATGGATAACGGAAAAAGGACATTATAAACCAAAATCTCTGATGAATACTGAGGCAAAAATCCTAAACAAAACACTAACAAAAGGAATACAACAATATATTTAAAAAATAACATATCATGATCAACTGGGGTTCATTCCAGGGACATAAGGATGGTTCAACACACACAAATCAATCAATATAATACTCTAACTTAACAAAATAAAGAATAAAAATCATATGATCTTATTAATAGGTGCAGAAAAAAGCTTTGATAAGATACAACATCTATTTATGATTAAAACACTCAATAAAGTGGGTATATTAGGAAAGTAGCTCAACGTAATAAAGGCCATGTATCACAAACCCTCAGCCAATATCAAACTCAATGATGAAAAATTGAATGTTTTTCCTCTAAAATCAGAAAAAAGACAAGGATGCTCACTCTCACCACTCTTATTTAACACTAGTGACCCAGTGCACAAATTTGTGCACATTAAAAGGAAATGAATTAGAAGGTGGCTGGTGGGGTGGGACTGGGCAAGATGGGCTGGACATGCCCTGGAGCCAACCTCCCATGGTTCTTCCCTGGCTGGCTGCACCTGGGGTGGCACCATGCTTCAAAGGGAATCTGGGGAGTGAGCAGGATCCCTCTAGCAGGTGGGTCCTTCAGCCTGGCCTCTGGGGATTGGGCTAAAAAACTGTCCAACATTCCTCGAAGGGTCACACAGATTGTGAGAGGGCACTCTGTAAAGTTGCTGTCATATATAAACACAAGTGTGCAGTAAACCAGATTTGGTACAGACAGTGCCCCAAGAACAACATAACCCACAGCTAAAGGTGGAATCGCACAGCACCACAAGGAATCAGGCTCCCTCCTCTCTGGTTTCTGGGTGTGTCACCCAAGAACCACCGCTGCCAAGTCCCTGGAACTCAACAACACCTGCATTGAGCATCTGCCCCCTGGTAGTCAGTGTACATAACAGCTAACAGTTGGACAGACATTTAGCATATTAGCTATATATATATATATATATATATATATATATATATATATATATATATATAAAAAACCAGAGATCATAACACGGAATGACCCAAACAACCAGTCACTATGATGCCCACAGAAGCCAGTGAACCCGCCTGGTCAGGGTTAGGGCTGGCTGGCCAATATCCCTTGGTCCCTCCTCCCAGCCGGCCCCACCACTGATTGCTCTCCATACCCCAATAGGGGGTGGAGCCAGCCAGTCAACCTCCTGCAGCTTTTCCTCCTGCCCAGACCTACCCCAGATTGGTCCCCCAACCCCAGTCAACCACCTGTACCCCCCGCTCCCCCCCGCACCAGCCCTGCCCCTGATGGGCCCCCACCATCCCATTTGGGGGTGGGGCCAGCTGGCCCACTGTCCACAGCCCCTCCCTATGGCTGGCCCTGCCCCCAACCGGCCACCCACCCCAACTGGGGGCAGGGCCAACTAGCCAATCACCCTCAGGCCCTCCCCCAAGTCAGCCCAGCCCTAATTGGGCCCTGATCAGGGTGGGCCAACTGGAAAACCTCCCACTGTCACTCCTCCTGACAGGTCCAGCCCCAATCCACTCATTCACGAATTCATGCAGTAGGCCTCTAGTGTGTGTGTGTGTGTGTGTGTGTGTGTGTGTGTGTGTGTGTATTTCTAAAAGTCCTTGCCAGAGCAATCAGGCAAAAGAAATAAATAAAAGGCACCCAAAGACCTAAATATAAGACTTGAAACAATAAATTACATAGAAGAAAACATAGGTACTAAACTTAAGGGGGTCTTAGAGAACATTTTATAAATTTGATCCAAAGGCAAGGGAAGGGCAAAAGTTTCTGCACAAGAAAAAAAGCTGCCAAGAAAACAAAATGCAACCAACCAAATGGGAGATATTTGCAAACAACATCTCCAACAGGGATATCCAAAATACATATATACATTCACACACACACTTACACACACACATATACAATAAATAAATAAAAATTTAAAAAACCAGAGGTAATATGCAAATTAGGCCAGGACTCCGTAACGGGTCACGACCAGACAGGAGGAGGTTGCACACGCAGGTGAGACCCAGAGCAGAGACGGAGACAGAGGCAGGGGGGACTGTCAGAGCTGGCTCAGTGGCTTAGGTGACCCTGGAGCAGACACTGGCAGGGGGGCTGGAGGATGCTGCAAGTCAGGCACAGGCCCTGCCCTCCCATGGGATGTCTCCTCACATGATTTTTTTTTTTTTTTAATATATATATTTTATTGATTTTGTACAGAGAGGAAGGGAGAGAGATAGAGAGTTAGAAACATCGATGAGAGAGTCATCGACCAGCTGCCTCTTGCACACCCCCTACTGGGGATATGCCCGCAACCAAGGTACATGCCCTTGACCGGAATCGAACCCAGGACCTTTCAGTCCCCAAGCCGACACTCTATCCATTGAGCCAAACCGGTCTCGGCTCCTCACATGATTTTAATCGCACGTTCGGCCTCTAGTATGTATATATGTGTATGTGTGTGTGTATGCAAAATACATATATATATATATATGTGTGTGTGTGTGTGTGTGTATATGCATATGTATATGTATATTGCACTCATACAACTCAACACCAAACAAACAATCCAATAATAAAATGGGCAGAGGACATAAACAGACACCTCTCCCAAGAAGACATACAAAAGTCCAACAGATATATGAAAAAATGTTCAACTTCACTAGCTATGGGGAAAATGCAAACCAAAACTACAATAAGATACTACCTCACACCTTTTAAAATGCTTAACATTAACAAGACAAGTAATAACAAGTATTGGTGACAGAAGATGATTTGACTATGGGTGGTGGACACACAATGCAATATGCAGGTCATGTAGTATAGAAATGTTCACTTGAAATCACTATGAACTTATTAACTAACTAGAAGCTCAGTGCATGAACTCGTGCACAGATGAGGTCCCTCAGCCTGACCAGCAACTAGGGTTGATTGGGGCCATCTTGCCCAGTCCCTATCAGGGCAATTGGGCCAGCCAGCTGGGAGGGAGGGATCATGGGAGGTTGGTCTGCCATGGGAGGTTGGCTGTGGGAATGCACTGACCACCAGAGGGCAGCATCTATGTTGAGCATCTTTTCCATGGTGGTCAGAGCATGTCATAGCAATTGGTCAACTAATCATTCCATCATTCAGTTGTGTGGGTCACTTAGGCTTTTATATAAATAGATGTCATCCCAATAAATTTGAGCATATTTACATGAATTTAATATAAAATTGTTGAACCCCTATTTAAAGAGATCAATATATACAATAAACTCTTAGCTGGATATTTACTAGCCCACGTTCATAGTACAGTGTAAAATAACTCTATTCATTATTCTGACCATGAGGCAATAGCAATTCTGAACATATGAGTAGTTTTAGTGTTAAAGTATTAAATTCTTTGAGATGTGACAAGCATTTAAGTTCAATACTCTAATTCCTCAATGATGTCAGATAGCAGAGTTTAAAGCCATGATTAAGCAACCTAAAAGTTTTACACTTCAATAGTATAGTTGGTATGTACACTGTCTTAAAATTCAAGGTCCAAATATATAATAAAAGTATAATAAAGAGAAGACCTACCACAAAGCAAAAAAAAAAGCTAATTTTTGCTACTTGAGTTGCAGTAAGTTTCCCCACAGTTTTGAGTAAGGATTCTTGTTCTTTCACAGTTGGATATGACATACGAGACAACTTAGCTTCCAGTGCATGGCTTGATGGAAGCTGTCGAATCTCCATGATATTACTGAACCTTACACGAGACTTTTTGGGAGCTTGAAAGAAATAGTACAAATCATTAAATGTTTCTCCTCACATCCAACTAAAGTCACATTTTAATTTACCAATAAATGCATATTATTTAATCCATCTATAATCAGACTTGAACAAAGAAAAAGCAGTTATATCATTAACTGAGGCAGCTTTGCTCATTCAAAAAAGTTAACAGAAAAAATGTTTACATCTATAAAAATGTTTTAAAGGTTTAAGGTCTGATCAATATTCAAACAAGATTTCTGCAACTGTATACACAGTATACACAACTGCCTAGTTCAGGATTATAGTATGATTATTACTTTAGCATTTATAGTAAAACTTTTGATTTTTCCTCATAGATAATCAATTTATGTAAATTAGTTTCCATTCAAGAATACAGAATATTCCTCTTTAGGTCCATACATTGCAAAAGAAGATTATGGATAAATACAGCCTCATGTTGAAGCTGGCTGATATTATTAAATTCACAGAACCAGCAAAATTCCTACAATTGGCTATCAAGTTTTTTTATGGCAAAGTTGAAGATAATATTGTTCATTAGGAAAAAAGTATGTGTGTGTGTGTGTATATATATATATATATATATATATATATATATATATATAGCACAGAGATTTCTGGTATTTGGAAATTATTTCTAGTTGAATTAATAAAAACTCTAGTCATACTTCTGGAAGATTACAGGCCAAGCCAATATCATGTGAACAGGACAACTGCCAAGTGATCTCAAAAATCACTAAGTTTTGAAATGGCTTGAATGAAGCTAAGATTTCCACCCATATCTAAGTTATGAAATTCTAAGTTTTGCTTACTTTTTTCAGTATCTATATTTGTGTTCTCAGGTTTTTCACTGGGAAGATCATGAAATTTCACAGGAACATACAAAGGTTCACTCTGAAACATACCAGAAACAGAAACAAATATAAACAAACATGTAATGGCTGATAGTAGTGGATAAAATTTAAAAAGATGGTTTGTAGGCACAGATACCACTCAAAACATGACTGTTCACCACCATGTTTTTACAGCATAATTTTCCCAAAATGCATTTTCAAGACTTAAAGGAGAAACTCAAATGATGCACATAGGTACAATTACAGAAAAGAACCAATTTCAAGTTTGTAAGAGTAATAATACCTCATTGATACCTTACGATATTTAACATTTAAATGTCATAAAAGCAGACCTATCTCTCAATTAACAAATTATCTCCCATTCTTTTTCACTCATCCTATATAACAAAAAGGTAATATGCAAACTGACAGTCACACCCTTGCACAAGATGGCCACCCCTATGTGGTCACAAGATGGCCGGCAGAAGAGGGCAATTGTGGGCAATCAGGCCAGCAGAGGTGGGCAGTTGGGATTAACTAGGCCTGCAGGGGAAGGAGGCAGTTGTGGGGTGGGGGAACCAGGCCTGCAGGAGAGGACAGTTGGGGCGGATTAGGCCTGCAGGAAAGGGCAATTGGGGGTGACTAGCAATTAGGAAGGGTAGTTGGGGGTGACCAGCAATTGGGCCGGCAGGGGAGCAGTTAGGCGGTCAATCAGGCTGGCAGGGGAGTGGTTAGGGGGTGATTAGGCTGGCAAGCAGAAGTGGTTAGGGGCAATCAGGCAGGCAGGCAGGCGAGCGGTTAGGACCAGCAGTCCCAGATTGTGAAAGATATGTTCTGTGGGATCAGGCTTAAACTGGCAATTGGACATCCCCTGAGGGGTCCCAGATTGGAGAGGGTGCAAGCTCGGCTGAGGGACACCCTCCCCAGTGCACTAAATTTGTGCACCAGGCCTCTAGATATTTTAATAAATATATGTTGAGTCCCACTATGTCAGGTGCTATCTTACTTCCTGAGAATATAAGAGTGCATGAAGTCTCTTCAATGATCATGTAGTTCAAAGGGAAAGGCAGACAGTGAACAGATAATCACCTATATAATATGTATATATATTTGCCAAGTTGTTTTCTCTTATAACTTAAGATTCAACTAAAACCAAAAATTCCTGAAAACTTTTTTAGCATTAATAGATAAGAAAAAAAAAGAAGCTACCTCTTACCAGTTCTTGCTATGTACCAGATACCAAGTCCAAAGCAGTTAAACATACATTTCTCATTAGCCCTTGCAACAAGTTTATAAAATGGTATTTTTAAAGAATTTTTCTAGAAGCTGAGATATAATAACCCAGTGGCAGACAACAAAATTAAGCCAGGTTTGTCTAACATGTTCTAAAGGTCTATATTTTTAAATGGTTTTAAATTCCTCAACTGTTTTTGCAAATACTGTTCAGATAATCCATATTAAAATAATTCTCCAACCCTGCTGTTTTTTAAATTCACATAAAATTGTGTTTTATATCTTTGATTTTTCTTTTAACTCCTGGTATAAAACTCTACCAATAAAAAATAGTCACTAAATGAAGAGACTAAAGAATCTGGAAATAGATGTAGTGTCTTGTTACACTGAATTTTAATTACAGCATTTGGCCTAGAATGATTTTGACCTATCGATCTTAAAGATAATAGCAAAAATTAGTAGAAGAGTAGTTAGAAGAGAAGGCTGCCATCTTAGCTCCGGTTTCTACACTGAAAGAGACAACTGATAATACTCTGTTGATGCTTATGATCTCAGAGAAATGAGGTGACATTTTCCCTAAGCTTCATAAACTCTTCACAGCATGTGGTAACCTACCCTGAATACAAATGTAGTTTTAGAAACTGGACAAACAAAAAAACAAGCTAATGCATAAAATTTTAAATTTTAGAGCAACTTTAAAATTCTTTTCAGTCAAATTGTATTAAATTTTAGAGCAACTTTAAAATTCTTTTCAGTCAAAATGCCACATTTTGAACAATACATTAAAAAATGTTTTAGTGATGGTCTAAATAAATATTTTAATATATTATCTCTCCAATGAGATTATAAATGCTTAATATAAGTAAATGCATTACTTTATCTGCTTATTATGTCTCCTTCTCCTTCCCAAATGTGTGACTCACTACTAGAATATAAACTATATTTCCAAAGTAAAAACAAGTACTTAATACAGATTAAGCACTCTTTAAAAACTTATGGGAAAAATGAAAAATCTGCTTATAAATTATCAGTGTCAACCAAATATATGTGTATCTAAGTGATAATAATCCTATATAATAAAAGGCTAATATGCAAATCGACTGAATGGCAGAACAATCGGTCGCTATGATGAGCACTGACCACCAGGGGGGCAGATGCTCAATGCAGGAGCTTCCCCCTGTTCCCCTTGGGGAGCATGCCTAAGCCGTCAGTCGAATATCCCCCAAGGGCTCCCAGGCTGAGGACACTCCCCTTCCCCCGAGTGCAGGAATTTCATGCACTGGGCCACTAGTATAATAAGAAACACGAAGTGACAAAGCTTTTAGGAAATGTAGGACATGCCAAAACCAGTTTGGCTCAGTGGATAGAGCGTCGGCCTGTGGACTGAAGGATCCTGGGTTCGATTCTGGTCAGGGGCATGTACCTTGGTTGCGGGCACGATCCCAGTAGGGAGTGTGCAAGAGGCAGCTAATCAATGTTTCTCTTTCATCAATGTTTCTAACTCTCTATCCCTCTCTCTCTCTCTCTGAGAAAAGTCGGTAAAATGAAAAAAAAAAAAAAAGAAGAAGCAGCGAAGGACAAAGAGCTGCCTTTTGTTATGTGAAAATAACATCATTATTTTCACTTCTTAACTATTTCCCTCCCACTCTCTCCCCTCTAGTAGTTGAACTGCTTATTTTCTGGCCCCAGGTATTTCTAAACTAAGAGTACCAAGCTAAAATAATCATGGAGGGCACCCAATATTTATATATATATATTCTAATGTAGCTTTGATAAGTTATATTCAGTTCTACAGCTCACCTCCATCTGCTCCATTCCTGACAAGAAAAGAAACACTTACCAAAGAGCTATTCATAGTTGTATCTGTGGTGCAAGCAGCAAAATAACCTTCAGCATCTGCGAACTACAGATAATAGGACAAAAGGATTCAATTAAACTGGTGATAATGTAGGACTAGTGTCAGTAACAGCTTAAAAGAATAGACTAAAAAATCCAGAGTAGATCTATAAGAATATAACTATTATGAATAATGCCAAGTACTCAACCATGCAAGATTGGTATTATCTTCATTTTATAGAAACTGAGACTGAGAGACTTTATCTAAATAACATAGAGTTAGGATTAAACCCAAGTTAGTCTAACTCCAAAATGTATGCTCCTTTCACAATACTATTATAAATTTAGATTAGCAGGGAAAGGAAAGAGTGAGCCTTTAGTGAAAAAGACAAATAACATCTTTGTATTATCCTGATAATAGTATTAATCAAGAACTCCCTAAATGGACCTCAGGGGTTGGACCATGCTCTGAGAACCACGGTGCTAGTGGTGTATAAGCATGCTTTTATTCATACCCACAGCTACCCTATCATTATCCTTGTTTAATCTCTAGAGGTTAAATAACTTGACCTAAGTTACACCATCATCAGTGACAGAACAAGATTCAAATAATATAACCCACGCTATTAAGAATGCTTGAATATCAATAAGAAAAAGTCAATGTAGAAGAATGGACAAGATATATAGACAACTGACAAAAGCATTCTATTGTGCAATAAATATATGAAAGAGTAACCCAAACCATGCATATTAAATAAGATGCCACTGATCACTTAACAAGCTGGCAAATGTTAGGATTTTGGTAATGAAACAAATGCATACGTGAAAAAAAAAATGCAGGATACATGCCAAAAAAACTGTCAATGGTCATTCCTTGAATGGTAGAATTTATTTTTATTTATTTATTTATTTTTAATACATTTTATTGATTTTTTTACAGAAAGAAGAGGGATAGAGAGAAACACCGATGAGAGAGACACATTGATCAGCTGCCTCCTGCACACCTCCCACTGGGGATGTGCCCGCAACCACGGTACATGCCCTTGACCGGAATCGAACCTGGGACCCTTCAGTCTGCAGGCCGACGCTCTATCCACTGAGCCAAACCAATCTCGGCTGAATGGTAGAATTTATTATTTTTGTCTTTATTTTCTAAATTTTTGACAATATACATGTATTCATATACATATAACATTCCTACATGTAATACTACAACATATATACATTCTGTGTCTATATATTCCTCTTAAAAATAATATACATACACACACATATTTTTCATAAGTTAAATATTTGTGGACATATAAGTGTATACTTCCAGGCTTTACCTTAAAAAGTTACTGAAAAGCCCCTGACAAAAATCAAATGACTGCCATTTCTCAAGAATGCACTCATCAGATAAGATATAATAGTATTTTAACCTACACAAAAAATAGTAGACAAAAGAATAGGAGTGACAGAGACAGAAAGTAAAACAGTACTTACCAGGGAAGGAAGGGAGGAGGGACATGGAATTGTTTAATGTGTTTCTGTTTGGAATGATGAAAAAGTTCTGGAATGGATAGCAAAATACTTACTGCCACGAAACTATATACTTTTTTAAATGTTTCAAATTGCCCTAGCTGCTTTGGCTCAAATGATAGTGTCAGCCTGCAGACTGAAGGGTCCCAGGTTCGATTCCAGTAAAGGGCACATGCCCAGGTTGCGGGCTCAATCATCAATAAGGGGCATGCAGGAGGCAGCCAATCAATGACTCTTTCTCATATCTGATGTTTCTATGTCTCTCTCCCTCTCCCTTACTCTCTGAAATCAACAAAAATACATTTTTAAAATAAAAAAAAATGTTTCTAATAGGAACTTTTGTTACATATATTGCCCACAAAAAAAAGGGGGGGAAAGAAAAAAAAATGGTTAAAGTGATAAATTTGATGCTGTGTATATTTTACCACAATTTTAAAAAAGGGGGGCAGAGAATAAAAAAGGATTGAGACAGTTTTATATTCTTTATACAGTTTCTATTTTTATAAATAAGCATGTTGTATTACATCATTGAAAGAACATAATTTGATTAGCCAAACATCTGAAACATGCCCTGAAATATGCTATTTTCATTTAAACAAATGAACCTTAAATTTTGCTTTTAAAATCAGCATTATAACCAATTAGATGATAATCATCCAGTCTACAAAAGATCAGAGATCCAGATATTTTTCTTCTTCCTTACTTTCATCATCATCGCCACATTAAATGATTTAGGCTAGTTCAAAAATGTTTAACAACTCAGAGGATGTCATGAGATAAAGAAAAGGGGGTGATTATATACTTTTGATTTATCACAAGATATTCTGATAGGAAGGTGATTAAAAGAATACATTTAAAGTTTTGGACCAAAGTCTTTCTTATAACATGCTACGTTCACTCACTTAACTGAGCAACTTAAAATTGAACTGTCCTTCAAGAAACTAATACATCTTTAAACTTTAAGAAACTATATCTGTCTCAAACAAACATTTAAAATTGAAAACTTACAAAAGCATCATGCTTTCCTCGAAATCCTCTTGTACACTGTTGTCTCCATGGCTTCCAAACAATAAAACCCAAAAGGTACAGAACAAACATCGATGTTTTTGCAAAGGTGCTGAAGAATGGTTTGTTGTACTGAGTAAAAACATACTAGAGAGAAAAAAGGTACATAAACTATGAGATGACTTTATACCAATTTCTTATCTCCAATAAAACAAAGCCATTACATGATTTTTAACTCTAAAAGTTCATTTGGAAAGAAAAACTCTAAAGGGAATATAAAAGTGTTTTAGATTCATTTCTGAATATTATATTTGCCTTAAAAAAAAAAGAATAATATACCTAAACAAAGCACTAACAACAAGTTCTGTTCAACATTCAATGAAAACTTACTATGCAGTAGTATTTATGCTAGAAGCTAAGGAAAAATAAGACAGGCTTTCCTGAAAGGAGAGTACACATCATGTGCTAAAAACCATGACAGGGGTATGGAGGGTATCATGGGAGTACCGTGTTTCCCCGAAAATAAGACATCCTCCGAAAATAAGACCTAGCGCATGGAAAGATAAGACATCCCCTGAAAATAAGACCTAGCGCAACTTTGGAAGAAAAAATAATATAAGACACTGTCTTATTTTTGGGGAAACACGGTAGTAGCAAAGGGAGACAGGCCATTTCAAAGGTTATGGAAGTTTCCTAAAAGAAACTATTCTTGTGCTGCCTGAACAGTTAGCCCAAAGTAACAGGAAATGAAATGGAATGGTATATCAAGTAAACTGTATAAAATTGAAAGTTATTAGGAAATTATACAAAATATATAATTTTTGTTTAAATTGGAAATGATCAGTATGAACTCATGATGTTTTCTTTCCTAAAAAAAAGTTTTATTTACTTGTTCTGAAAGACCCAGAAAAAATGACAACCCTGGAGGAATGGGCACCTCTAGAATCCAGATAGTGATCTGACCATGGGTTATTGAAGCAATGACTACACCCATGGATAGGGCAGGAAAAGTACCAGATGAGCTTGGGATGTCTTGTGCCAGAAAGCAGCTAGGATGTTAAAGATTAAAGAAATCATGTTAAAAGGGTATTAGAGACAATATGAAGGGGCTCCCAGTGGTCAAAGATAGGAAACTTAAGTGTCAAAAGAAATAACTACAACTGTTTGAAACATCGTTTCAAATAAAAGTCCATGAATGTATAATGATATTCAAAAACTCCTCGATGGTTACTACTGGAAGTTGTTAGGCAACATTATTTTAAAATGGCTAAAGGAAAAGAATCTATGTTCCAGGATAACCAAATAGCAGTTGTAAAAAGTCTTCTTTAATCTGTTAACTGGGGAGTTCCCTTTTTAATGAGGCAACCTGTAACGGGCGCATACTCTTTCACTAGGACGTGTCAGTACATCACGCCTGGAGGACGTTATTTCATATTATTTTTTTAAATTTATACTTAATGAAAATAAATGAAATATATATATATTTTTTTCGTTTATTTATATATATAAAGCACAAAGGAAAATACAAAATTTAAAAAAAAATAGAAAAGAATACCGACCAAAAAAAATGGACAAGTCGAATTAAAAAATTATAAATTTTACAAACAATAATAAAGTTACAAAAAATAGCTCAGTGGATAGAGCGTCGGCCTTCGGACCTAAAGGTCCTGGGTTCGATTCCGGTCAAGGGCATGTACCTTGGTTGCCGGCACATCCCCAGTGGGGGGTGTGCAAGAGGCAGCTGATTGATGTTTCTCTCTCATCTCATCGATATTTCTAACTCTCTATCCCTCCCCTTTCCTTCCTCTCTGTAAAAAATCAATAACATTTTTTTTTTTAAAAAAGATTACAAAAAATATATACCGTCCCTCTCGGGGCACAACATATATTTCAAGGATGTATTCATACGTCCTATCCATTCCCGATATTGTTTACGTTTGACGATTTATAGGTCCCGCTCGGTTAACAGGTTAAGGAATTCCAGCTAATAAATGCAGAAGGAATGACCCTTAGAAAAATCACCATTTTACCATTTCTAATGAAATACTCTATCTGGGCAATAATCATAAGGATATTAACTATTAGTCACAGGGATAAGGAACTTTATAGTTCTCATATTGGCATTACCCATGGTAAGACTTGCAGCCATTATGTGTCTCATGTTGTGATATGAAAGAAAGTGCCTGGTACCACCAAGGTATTTTTTCTTAAATACTGAAACTGAATCAAATCAAGACTGTACACCAATCTACCATTTTATAGGAAACTAGAGGCCCAGTGCATAGATTCGTGCAGCAGTGGGGTCCCTCAGCCTGGCCTGAGGGGGATGGGACTGAAATCAGCTCTCCAACAACCTAAAGGGTCCTAGATTGCAAAAGGGTGCAGGCCAGTGCATGATTGGGAGGGACCATGGGAGGGCACCAAGGTAAGTCAGGCCCAACTCGCCCAGTCCCGACTGGCCGGACCCCAGCAAGCTAACTTACAGGTCAGAATGTCTGTCCCCTGGTAGTCAGCGTGCGTCAAAGCGACTGGTTGAATGGTCGAATGGTTGGACATTTAGCATATTAGGCTTTTATTATATAGGATAAAAAAGAGGTGTCATTCCTAAATGACACCCTAAGGAAGCAATCAGTCAAATCCAGAATGTGTTATGGACTAAATGCTTGGGTCTCTCCAAAATTCATGTTAAAATCCTAACTAACCTCCAATATAGTGAAATTAGGAGGTGGGGCCTATGGGTAGAGCTTTGATGAATGAAATTAGTTCCACATAAAAAAAAATCTAAAGAGCTCTGCCTTGTGAGGGCACAGTGAGAAAACTGCCACCTAAGAACTCGGAAGCAGCTCCACACCAGGCAGAATCTGCCTGCATCTTGACATTGATCCTCCATAACTGTGAGAAGGAAATGTTTGTTGCTTGAGCCACACAGCCTATGGTGGTTCTGCCAAAGCACCCCAAACAGACTACAGGAAAAATGATATAGTTTCTCCAACAAATCAATGGCATGATAAAGGGAGGGGGGCAGGGGAATACAGTTAAAGAATAAAAGTGACTTAAGAATTATAACAAATGAAATGTTTTATTTAGATCTTATTTATTTTTTAAATATATTTTATTGATTTTTCACAGAGAGGGAGAGAGAGGAAAAGTGAGTTAAAAATATCGACCAGCTGCCTCTTGCACACCCCCTACTGGGGATGTGCCCACAACCAAGGTACATGCCCTAATCGAACCCGGGACCTTTCAGTCCGCAGGCCAACGCTCTACCACTGAGCCAAACTGGTCCCGGCTTGTTTAGATCTTAAACTAAAAAGATGTCCTTGTCATAGCCAAAGAAACTTATACATGGACTGGATATCCATATTTAAGGAATTAATTAGTTTTGTTAGATATGTCATAGCATGGTGATTATATTTTTTAAAATTAAGTCATTTTCAGTTTGAGATGAATATAAAAGAATTTTTACAAGAAATCAGAAGTTAATAAGATCAGCAAAATTTGACAATTGTTAAAAGTAAATGATGGGCACATGAAAATTCATTATCCTACTCTCTACTTTCTATATATTAGATGTTTTCCATAATAAAAATAGATTTTCTTTTTTAAAAATGTATGTTTATTGATTTCACAGAGGAAGGGAGAAGAGGAGTTAGAAACATCAATGATGAGAAAGAATCATTGATCAGCTGCCCCTTTTCATGCCCCACACTGGGGATCAGCCACAACCCAGGCATGTGACTGACCGGGAATAGAACTATGACCTAGGTCAACTGTGACACAGGTCAACGCTCAACCACTGAGTCACTCTAGTCAGGCTGATTTTTTTTTTTTACATACATATTTTTTAATTTCAAAAGTTTGATAGGCATATTTGTACCGAAGAATTAGACACATTACATATGCTCTTGGATAATAAAATTATAAAATATCCTCTTAGTAACAGATTTTACTTTTTAAAAAAATAGGGACATACACACACTCAAAAAAATAGGGGCAAGTTTTTTGTGTTTGTTTTTTTACTTTTTTTAGATATGGATTGCTAAATTATAATTTAATCAGGTGCTCTTTTGCTGTAAATTTTCTTGCCTGATTAAAAAAAACAATTTAAAACTAAAATGAAAGTTTAAAGATAGGCTTATTTCTCTGTCAACATTAAAGAGACTTTTTAACAGAATGTTAATCTAAAAACAGAAGAGTTAAAAATAAATGGCCTGTTTTACTCCAGAGCCTAATTCCAAAAAGACTAAAAATTTATTTATTCTTTAGATACAATGTCAATGGAAACTATTTACTTAGCTATGATGTGAGATGACCAGCAGTATCAAATGGCTTCTTCTGACATTTCAGGCCATTTTATAAGTGCTAGTTTATTTTTGTATATTAGCCTTATGACTGCAACATGCAAGTTTAAATACAGTAATCTCTGAAAATAAAATTGTCTTTTTATAGAGACCACTAACCAAACAGAATAAAGTAACTGCACAAGTAGAAAAACTAGCTTGTGAATTCAAAATACCATGATAATGCCAATAGGTCATCAATTAAATAAAAAAAAAAAAAATACAACCAAAGCTGCTTTGGCTCCTGGATAGAGCATCCATCGGCCTATGGACTGGAGGGCTCCGGGTTTGATTCCAGTCAAGGGCACATGCAGGAAGAAGCTAATCAATGATTCCCTCTCATCAATGATGTTTCTATCTCTCCCTCTCCCTTCCTCTCTGAAATCAATAAAAATATATATATTTTTTAATTTAACTAAGGGCAACCACTATACTTTATAGTAGTAATGTCTTCATCAGCAGATAAATGTACATGCAACCATCATGCATGTGCACAACAATGAACTGTACATTACAACTCTGATGATTTTTCACTCATTTGTCCAAAAGCATGCTTACATTCTACTAAATTGTGACAAATGGTTTTGCATCCTAGATGGCTGTTCCCCTAAAAATAGCATTTACAGAGAAAGAAAATTAACTTAGGGGAAAAAAAAAAAAACACAGAGAAAGAAACACCTTCAAATATTAAATATGCATATGCTCGCTTTCTAAACAACTCCTGAAAGATACAAGAAACTTGCATGAAACAACAAAGAGTGTCCTTTCAGTTTCAACTTCACTCTAATTCAATATCAAAGAAAACATAAATAATTCAACAATATTCAAAACACTGCTTTCAGTAAGCATGAGAGAGAATAATGACTAGAGAGTGATAGGACCGACGAAGAGGGATGTTATTATAATGGAGCATCATTCCAGGACAAGCACTACGTACGGAAGTGAGTTCTGAGGACGCCACCCATATCACATCCACAAGCAGGAGAATAACAATCCCAAGAGCCATGCGCTTGCGCTGAGTGAAACCACTGCTCTGAGCGTTCATTCGGTTCATGATAAATACACACACCATTTGTAGTCTGTTTAGAAAAGAGAAAGGATTCTTTTTAAAAATAATAACAACAACCACATAAAAAGGAGAAAATGAGTAGGACAGAAACATCGGCATGTGTTCCAATCCTCAGTTTTAAAGTCACACAGTCATTAAAAGGTGCTTGACCAAACCAGAGGGAGTCGGACCTGCATTGCCACCATCTGTCCATCATCCAGACATCATTGCTGACAGGTACACATAAGGAACTATTTGATATTGAAACTGGGTCTCAGAACTGTTGGACATTGAAATTGAGACTCAAATTTTTTTTATATTATACGTTTATTTCTAGTCTGCAGTTGCAAGATTTTTTAAAGAAAAGAAATGGGGGGAGGGGGATAGTTATAAAGAACCATTGAACAGACTGTCAAACTACAGTGGGAAGGCAAGGGAGGTTGGGCGGTTGTAAGAGATCAACCGAAAGACTTGTATGCATGCTTATAAACATAACCAATGGATACAAGACACTGGGGGGGGCGCAAGTGCAGGTATATGGGGGGGGGGCAGGAGAGGCTGGGGGGAAGTCAAGGGGGGGAAAGGAGACATATGTACTACTATTTGTAATGCTCCAAACAATAAAAAAAAATAATTTTAAAAAAGGTGTTTGATTTACCTTATTTTCAAGGCCTTTCTGAGATCTTCAAGAGCAATGCCTGCAAACTTGGCGGATGGGAGTCTAAACGGCGGTGAAGAACTCAACGCACCTGATGGGGGTGAAGAGCTTCAAGTGAGATTCCTCACGTCTTTTGCACCCGTCTTTAAAACGAACGCAAATGAAAGAAAATACCTGTGTGTTACACATAATGGGCGCTCCTCTCCAGACTTCAAATTATAATCAGAGAATGACATTACATGGGACAGGAAAAAATAAAATAATAAAGCAATACGCCACACACCGCACAGAGAAGAGCAGCGGACTCCTGGCAAAGAGCTTCTCTGCACCGCACACACAACCCGTCCCCCCTCTGCAGGGGAGCCCACCCCGGGCCCGGGTCTCCCCACGCGCGGTCTCTGAGCGTCTTCGCTGCCCCATCAAGAGCGGGTTCGGCGGGAGGGAGCCTCGGCTGTGAGTGCTGGGGCGCGTGTCCGGGCGCTCACGGGGTGAAGGGAAAGGACCCTCCACCACCTGTCACCGTATCCGGGTGTGTCAGACCGAAAGGGCAGTTCACGGGGCAGAGGAAACAGCTGCTGCGGGGACCCCCCTCCCTGGGGAGGAACGAGTGTGGGGCCGGGACGCCTCGCGGAGAGGCCACGTCCCGAGGCGGCGGCCTCGGCGGCTTCCTCGGCTGCGGAGTCGCGCCCGCCCGCCCGCCAGCCCGCCGGCCGGCCTCCCCCCAGGCCGCCCCGCAGACCGTTAACGCGCTCCGCCGCCGCCCAGGCCCAGCTCCTGGGCTGTTCCCGGGTCCGCGGGCCCGGCGTGGGCCCTGCCCGCCTACCTGGCCTCCCTGCCCAGCGGAGGCGTCGTGGCGGCACCATGAGCGGACCGGACCCGGCCCCGCCGCCGCCCCGCGCCACGGCCCCGGCCTCGGACTCACAGCGCGGCGGCGGCGCCCTCCATGGCGCCGCGCCGGAGGCCCAGCCCCTGAAGCCGCGGAGCCCCTCCGAGCAAGGCCGCGACGCCGCCCAGCGCCACGGGCCCGGGAGGGCGGGGAGCGGCCAGCGAGCGGACCACGCAGGCAGCGATGGCCGCGGAGCCGGAGCTGGACCCTGCGCCGACCCCACCCCCCGCCGGCCCCGCCCCCGCCGGCGGGGCGTGATGACGTCACGGCCAGGGGCGTGTCCCGGGGAGTGGCGGCGCGGAGCCGGGCTCTGTGCGGCGCTTAGACGCGGTGCTGCCGTCCAGGAGGAGCGGGGCCTGGAAGACGGGGTGCGGGGAGGAGCGGAGTCGGGAAGACGGGGTGCGGGGAGGAGCGGGGCCAGGAAGACGGGGTGCGGGGAGGAGCGGGGACAGGAAGACGGGGTGCGGGGAGGAGCGGGGACAGGAAGACGGGGTGCGGGGAGGAGCGGGGCCAGGAAGACGGGGTGCGGGGAGGAGCGGGGCCAGGAAGACGGGGTGCGGGGAGGAGCGGAGGTAGGAAGACGGGGTGCGGGGAGGAGCGGGGTCAGGAAGACGGGGTGCGGAGCGCGGTGGAAGGAGAAAGGGGAGCTGGTGGACGTGGGCGGAGCGTAGGGCCAGGGAAGTGCCCCTTGACCCCGGACTTGGGCCAAGAGCTGTCAATTGTTTTACAAATCCATCAGGGAACTCTCAACATTCCTAAAGGCAAAGTGGCTTGGGAGGATCTTTGCTTTCTGGAACCTTTTGTGTGTAAACTGCATCCCAGCTGTTGGAGTTAGAGGTTGTGCTCCTTCACCTCCCTGGCCCTCAGTTTCCTCATCTAAGTGGGCATAATGATAGTACCTGACTCATCTATTTTATTTATATATATTCCTTCCAGGCTTACATGTGTGCAAATGTAAAAGGCTTAGGTAATTCGTGGCACATAGTAAGAACTCCACAAATGATAGTAATTAACTATAGATTAAAAAAAAAACAAAAAACATCTTTTGACTATCCTACAAGAAATAAGGCTTGGCCAGCATACTGATTTATATTCAGAAAACAAAAACGAGACAAAAAATGTTTTGTAACTTAACTTTTGTAACATCTTTATCAGATGGGAAGAAATTAAATTTGCTTACATCTGTCATCATCTTTTAAACCTTGTTTTTCTGAAATCGAATTCGTATTCAAATGACAAAACCACACCACTGGACTTTTTGGGTTAATCCAATAAATTATCAGCATGAAGTATCTATAATCATTCAGAAATCTATCATGCAAAATAGAAAAATCTTAATCATCTACTTGAATTACTACTTAGGGGAAATTTGGTTGTATTGCATTAATCAAATTATTTAAGCATCAATTTTATTTCATTAACTTTCTTTAGTGTCAGGCTCATAATATTTTTAAATTATTTTGTTACAATTATATATAAACTGAAAAAATCTCTCAATATAAAAGCCTAAGTGACCAAACGACCGGTCACTATGATGTGCACTGACCACCAGGGGACAGACGCTCAGCACACAGTATTGGGCTCCCTCCTGTCTGGATTGGGCCTGCATGGATCAGGCTTGTGGAGATTGGGTTCCCTCCTGTCTGGATCGGGCCTGCAGGGATCAGGCTTGTGGAGATTGGGCTCCCTCCTGTCTGGATCAGGCCTGCATGGATCAGGCTTGTGGAGATTGGGTTCCCTCCTGTCTGGATCAGGCCTGCAGGGATCAGGCAAAAATGGCTATCCAACATCCCCCAAGGGGTCCTGAATTTCAAGAAGACACAGGCCAGGCTGAGGGACCCCATCAGTGCATGAATCTGTGCATCATGCCTCTAGTAATAGCATAAAGAATAACTCTCAGGATCTAACAGGAACACTAGGTTCTATTTTTTAATCTGATCACATTTGTTCACGTAATCTTGAGGATGATTATTCTCTACTTTGCCTCAATTCATAAATATGCTCGTACTGTTATGTTTATAAATAATGCAAGTGATAATACTCTGAATGGAAGTCCTGCAACCATAAAAGTAAAGAAGAAAGCACATGGAGACTAGTAGAAAGGGCAGAGGCATGGATGGAGGAGAGGCATGACTGGGCTGGCCTGGCAACAATGTGTGTGTTTTGTTTTTGTTTTGTTTTTTTTCAATCAGGAGGGTTATGTGGCTCTGGGGCATCCAGTGAGGAGCAAAGGGACCCACCCCACACCAGATCCCCCAGCCCAGGGTTCCAGAACTGGAAAGAGAAGTCCCTATAACTTCAGACTGTAAAAAGCAACAGGGATAGTGGCTGAGTAGCACAGAAGCTGCTGGAATCACAGAGAGTTCCCTTAAAAGGGCCGGTACATGGACTTACTCAGACTTAATCTCTCTGAACTCCAAATCTGGGATGGTGGCTTGAAAGAACCTGGGATATTAGGGGAGGAACTGGATTATCTGGCATTAGAGCAAGAACTCTTGAGGGTGGCTTCCTCCCAGATGGGTGCTTGCAGATGTCATTGCTCCTATGCTGATACCTCCCCTGTCCCAGAGCTGACTGGCAGCCATATCTGAGTTTCCAATAGCTTGGCTCACACTGTTCACTTGACCTGGTTCCCACCAAAGCTGTTTGCAGCAGCTTTTCCATATGAATGGCCAGTCCTGGTTCAGGCTTCAGACTTGCCTAAAATCTCTTAAACAAGCAACAGCTGACTTCAGAGTGCCCCATACCTATCAATATGAGGCCTAAAACCCGGTACTAGCACTAGCCTGCCTTACCAGGGCACTTCTAAGTCCAATACAAGTAGCAGCCATCTGAAGATCTCTCTGTACCTCCTACTGGGTGACCCTAGGCAGTGGATTAGTAGAATCAACATCATTAAATGTCCATACTACCCAAAGCAATCTATAGATTTAATGCAATCCTTATTAAATTACCAATGGCATATTTCACAGAACTGGAACAAATATCCAAAAATTCATGTGGAAACAAAAAAGACACTGAATAGCCACAGAAATCTAGAGAAAGAACAAAGTTGGAGGGATCACAATACCAGCTATCAAGTTATACTACAAATCCACTGTGATCAAAATAGCCCGGTACTTGCACAAGAATAGGTATATAATCAATGAAACAGAACAAAGACTCTAAAAATTTACCTAAGCCATTATGCTCAAGTAATATTTGACAAAGGAGGCAAGAGCATACAATGGAGTCAAAACAGTCTCTTCAATAAATGTTGTCGAGAAAATTGGACAGATATATGCAAAAAGTAAAACTAGACCACCACAAAAAATGAAACTAGACCACCAACTTATACCATACACAAAAATAATATCAAAATGGATAAAAGACATATGCAAGGCATGAAAACATAAAAATCCTAGAAGAAACCATAGGCAGTAAAATATTAGACATCTTTCGTAGCTATATGTTTGCTGATACATCTCCCAGGGCAAAGGAAATTAAGGAGAAAATGACAAATGGGACTACATCAAAATAAAAAGCTTCTGTGCAGCAAAAGTAACTACCAACAAAGTGAAAAGGGAGCCCACTGTATGAGAGAACATATTTAGCAATGATACATCTGATAAAGAGTTGATATCCAAAATATATAAGGAACTCATACAACTTAACCAAAGGAAGACAAACAATCTAATTTAAAAAAATGGGCAAAGGACCTAAATAGACACTTATCCAAAGAAGACAATACAGATGGCCAAGAGACATTGAAGAAATGCTCAGTCACTGATCATAAAAGACATGCAAATTAAAATGACAATGTGGTACCATCTCATACCTAACAGAATGGCTATCATCAACAAATCAACAAATGACAAGTGCTGTCGAGGATGTGGAGAAAAAGGAACCCTAGTGCACCATTGGTAGGAATGCAGACTATTGTAGCCATTATGGAAAACAGTATGGAGTTTCCTCAAAAAATTAAATATGAAACTGCCATTTGACCTAGTGATCCCACTTCTAGGAATATATCCTCAAATACCCAAAACATGAATCAGAAAGAATATATGCACCCCTATGTTCATAGCAGTAAAATTTATAATGGCTAAGATGTGTAAATAGTCCAAGTGCCCATCAGTCGATGAGTGGATAAAAAAGCTATGATATATGTACACCATGAAATACTGTTCAGCATTAAAAAGAAGGATCTCTTGACCTTTGAGATAGCATGGAAGGATCTGGAGAGTATTATGTTAAGGGAAATAAGCCAGTCAGAGGAAGACAAATATCACATGATCTCACTCATGTGTGGAATCTAATGAATAAAATAAGCTGTTGAATATAATAGATCCAGAGACATGGAAGCATGGAAGAGATTATGGAATCTCAGAGGGAAGGCAGGGATGGGTGGGTGGTTTAGGAGAGATTAACCAAATAACTTATATGCATACTAGTATATGCATAACCCATGGACATAGACAATAAGGTGGGGGAGGCCTATGGCATCCTTTAAAAAGTGTTGCAATACAGGTTTGTAAAAATGTGTGCATATATATATATTGCTAGTCTATATATTTTACACCATAAGTTTATAATGCTGTAATCCTAGTAACTCTGAAGAACAAAATGTTATAGAACTATAACTTAAAACATAAGTCTGCAAAGGCATTGATTCCTAGCATGGGCCCTTCTATGTCAATTGATCAAAAATATTTATTGGTGCTCTTTTGTATAACCAGACCTAGACAATGTGGGGGATTTAATTGACTCTGCAAATATTTATTGAGTGTCTGCTACATTCCATATTCCCTTCAAGATACTGGACCATCTCTTTTGTTGTTGTTAATCCTCACCCAAGGATTTTTTTTCCATTTATTTTCAGAGAGCTTGGAAGGAAGGGAGGTCAGAAGGAGGGGGAGGAGAGAAAGAAACATGAATGTGAGGGAGATACATCAACTGGTTGCCTCCTGCGCATGCCCCGACCAACACTGGACCATC